ATTTACAAGCATGATAAACGAAGGAAATTAAGAAAATAATTATCAAGTGTAATTTTTTATAGTTTTGAAAATGAGGCTTCAGTAAAAATCTACAAAAAAGATGTGATTGAATAATAATTGAAAAAAAGGAGATTAGTACCTGAGTTGTGGCCGGCATTATGAGGCGAAGGCGTCGAATCAGCATTGAAATTCTGTAAATGGGTGATATTTGAGAGAACAGAAAAGTTGAACGTTGTTATAGTTATGAAAAAATGGAAATCATACCGTTCAAGAAACTCCTCAAGAGATGATCGCTCTACAGCTGCCTGTCTATTAATGTTTGGACGTACTACATCCTCATAAGCACGAGAATATCTAAAATACAGAAGCAGTATAAAACTGAGAAAGATTGTAGATAGGTCTAAACCTTGTGATATCCCATAAACATGAATTAATCAACAATACATCCGGGAACTCACTAGCAGTACATAATTCCAAGAGAGCAGTTTCTATGTCATCTTTCATTACCCTAAATGAGAAATTGCAGAAATGAAGCTGTTAAATGTTATGGATTCTCAAATGCTTGCCTAGTTGTAAAAAGGTACTGGATGAGATAGTGATCGGTGTGGTACTCTCTTGCTTGCCGAAACACTCTGTCATTTTCCAATGGAAGTATATCTATCTACAATGCTGGGAATATCCAAAAAAAACTATGGACTGCCACACGAAATGGAAAGAGATGCAGGAGAAAACGTTTGACACATACCATTTTATCTCCAAAAAAGGAGCTTTCTGTTTTTGCTTTCAGTTGACCGTCGTCAATCAGATTATTTCCGTGAAGCATAACGATAAGGTCCTTGTAAATTCCTCTCATCACTAAAAAAACGAAAATATGTGAAAAAATAGTTAGGAGCAAAGCGTAACAGATAAGGATAGGTCTGCAAAAAATACGTCCCCTCATTTCTATGTTCGTCGTTTGCAGCTCTCCCATATTGAAAAGACAGAAATTTTGTTATCAAAGCTATGTACATAATACTCCCTCCATACTAAGTGATAAGTATTCAAATCAATTTCTATGAATGATACGGAGCGGTGTTTAGGCTATTTTGAAATTTGATGTAAACACCAGCCTCTTTAAACAATCGCAATCATAAAAAACCCTTCTATGGAAGCGCTTTTTT